TATCATCGATGGTAGTTTTCACTACCAGTGTCGAAGTCTTTCCCTTGATTAGAATATGATCCGGATTTCAACAGCTAAGCTGTGAGCAGCATACTGTTAAAAACTAATTCCATCCACATAATCTTAAAATCAGATTTTCTTTACATATATGACCCGGCTCTTTCAAGCAGTTAAATTCCTTCTTAAGCAATCATTGTTTTGATAAGAATACATAGGTGAAAAGTTAACCCACAGATTTCAGTGGATACAGATCAAAGAGATCAGGATAGATTTTTCCGTAAGATAAAAAAATCGACGCTCGTCGGCTGACTTTGATCAGACCGCAAAAACATGATTCACACGAAAGGCTGTGCTCTTTTGTTTAATTCTTGTTTCTTTAGGACCACAACAAGAAAAATAGATCATATTATCTTATCTATTGTTTAAATTTTATTTGAAGTTTCTTACTCCTGAATATATAGGATCTCATAGGATGTACAACTCTATCTTGGAGATGCAATCGTTATAGGTTAGAGGCATGATGTTGTATGGAAGAGATTTAACATCAAGAAAAAAATTGTTCGAAATAATACTGTTTATAGAACACTCCAGTTCAATTCATTTAAGTAAAAGCAGGGAGATAGGGTGGCAGATTTGATGCTGGGAGCCAGAAAGAATTCATCATTAGTATCGAGAAAGAATCAAGTGTTCAATGTTTAACATGCAAGCAAATTGAGCAGTTAATTGCTCAGATTTTAAAATGAGAAAAGCTGTAACTGTTTTTATCAACACCAGCCATGTAGACGCTCAGATTTAAAAACTTTGAAATATAAACTGCAGTTTTTCTCTAAACAAACACATTTTTTTTGGCGTCTGCAGTAAATTCTCCGATATTATGAATGAATTATTTATCATTTAATAATCTTTCCTTCACACATCAAGTTAGTTAGGTTTTGTACAAGGATATGGTTAGAATAATTGAGATGATTAAAACACGCTTTAAAAGAACATGCCGGGTCCGGATGAACGAAGTGTGGATAGCATATCTGATGGATAAATCCTTATCCAGTGGATAAGTCAATGCTATTATCAATTAAACTTATCGTCCAGCACTGATAAGATTTATCCGTCGGATAGTGCTATCCACCCTTCGTACAATCAAGCCAAGGCTAATAATGATAATGCATATATAATAATACATACTTGCTTTGGTGCAAGTCAAACTACAACTACTCAGTATATTAAGCTTTGAAATTTTTCATATCATAAGAATGGATCGATTTTTTGCCCTTAAGATAACAAATACTGCTTAATTTTTCATAGGCGTGTTATATTAGCCGTTCCGAGGTTGATAAAAACTGGGACGAGACGCGGAGTTGGTATTGCAGTGCATTGTGGGTCTTTTTAGGGCAAGTATTTCCAAGTATTCCCAAGATGGCGTCTATTTAGTTCCCTAAAACAGCCCCAGAATGCACTGCAATGCCAACTCGACCACGTTTTCCCCCTTAACTTCGGAACGGCTAATAGATATCAAGAATTAAAATCAAAGGTCTAAAACAGCACAATGTTATTTTGACAAAAAATATAAATTAAAAAAAAAAAAAAAAAAAAAAAAAAAAAAAAAAAAAAAAAAAAAGAAAGGAAGGAAGGGCATACTTATAAACCGCGATTCCTAATCTCGATCAATCTTTCCACCATCGACCCGAACAAAGCGATATTCTCAACAGTTTCGTGGTCCAAATGGCGGACGCCCTAACCACTAGACCACAGAAAATAAACTATGTGCCTATGTCTTAACAACGAAACGAATTGAATACCTTAGCTATATTTTATCTTTATTTTGAATGACTATGACGTCTATAGCTACAATATTATATAAATAAATATCAATAACTGGATGGATATTGTAAATGCTGCTCATTCCTTTTAATATGGTCTTGACACACTCTAGGCATTTCAAAAAGCGTCTTGTCGGTCCGAGTCGTCTTTAGTGTGTCATAGAGCGAAGATAATACAATTTAAACCCGTAAGTAGTTACATTGGTGTATACGACATTTTGATAGACTGTAGTTTAGATATGACCTTAAATCCGTCGCAGTGGCTCTGTCTTAAGTTATTTCACTTGGTTTAACCTTTTTATGTCACTCAAGTTGACGAGTAATATTGGAAAAGCTAAGAAAATTTAATTTTTTTAGAGTAGGTTTTTATTTCTTATTTCGGAAAACGTCTAGTATTCAAATCCAAAAATATATGTCTTTTCTCAGTCCCTAACTGAAATCCCTAGGTAAACAATGAAAGATCGCATTTGATATACCATAGATCGACGAATAAATTCTAAAATTACTGAGAGGGGAAATCGTTTCAAAAAAATGTTCTGGAATTCCATCAACAATCCTTTTTTCTGCAATTTCTCTTTTTTTTTTAAAAAATCAGCACAAGAAGCAAAATTTTTATATCGTCTTAAACTAAAGTAACTATCGAGCAATTAGTAAACATCAAAAAGGGTGACATATATCCTTTGACCTGATTGGCTGTAGGTTACGATTCCGAATTGAAAATTATTTAAGGCACAAATTACTATAAATATACTTTGTTTGAACTTTTTTTTATATTTCATTTATTTTGTATCTGTTTATTTTTTCCTTAATGATACTGGTATTGATATCAGGCAGTTTTTAAAATTAAAAATCTTTGAAACTAATTCGAAAGCTTCGCAATTTTGAAGCAAGCTCTGTAATCAACATTATCATCACCATCCACCATCACCATCATCATGTGCATTATCTACATCGCAGCCACCATCAACACCTTCACCGTCATTGTGGATACTTTCATTTGCCTCTTAATTTACAAAATTTTGGTAAAAGAAAAAAATACAAAAGAAAACCTTGGTATTGAATATCGAAAACATAGGCCTTCTAATATATTGTTTTATTTAAAGTCAAAAGTTTATTACCTTGGTAGAATACCAAAAAACCTCTTGCAAATCTTTGAAAATGATTATGTTTTCTCTTCGGAATTAATCAAAATACTGACGATTCTATTTACGTTTAGTTAAAAGGAATAAGAGTGATTTATTTTAACTTAAGAGTATAAGAAAATGGATTTGACATTGTCGCTGATCAAGTATACTTAATGAATACTGTTGGAAATTAGTTTCAATCATAAAAGTCATTATCCTTTCAGGTGTCATTCTCACTCTGATCCTAGTCTGCAAGGACTGTATATATCAAAATAGTTCTACCGGAGAGTTGGAAAAGAAAAAAGCTTAAAGAGATTCTGCTAACTATTTATGTCCTTAGAACGCGGAAATGTACCGAATGTATGTACACTAAGGCTCAGGTCAAACGTCGAACTTCACATGAGCCAAACCTTATAACATCAAAGAAGACCGCCTCGTTATCCATTGTTTCAATTTGGTTCGGCTCATGTGAAGTTCGACGCTTGACCTGAGCCTAAGATTATCCGCTTCAAAACAATTTATTCTTAGTAATTTTTAATTGGTCTTACATTCAAGATTGATTGCAACCAGCATGCTGGAATGTTAATCTGTTTCACTCAAACATAATRAATTATTAATTTTCTAATTTACCAAAGTAAAAACGATCCGTCAAAGTATATAATAAGAAATGAATTTAAAAAATTCCATTATTTAAGTGCTTTCCCATATTTTTGTCTTGGTATAATTTTTATGGGTTTATTAATGGAAGCTTTCTTAAAAAGTTATCGTTTCCTTGAAAAGCTTAAAGCCACTCAATGATTGTATATCAGACGTATAGACACTTTACATTATAAGGACTGAGTGCGAAGGAGTATTACTAGAATCGTCTATGGATTTCGATCTATGGAAGTTATTCCAGATTGATCACGTTATTTTACAACCTGCAATGAATAAATATATGAATGATGGATATATGGGTGGGATGGATGGATGGATGGATAAATGGATGGGATGGATGGATGGATGGATGGATG